TCCTTCTACGTTGTACTTTTATATATTTTTTTAATATTTAAAATAATAACCAAAATATTACCAAGTTGTTTCTACATTATCTCATTTGAAAAATGAAATTTTTACTTACGCTTAGTTTATTTTTAATTTATCTTATGTTAGAATTGTCACTTATTTCAACAATTAGAAATGACTACGTTTCCTATTTTGTATTTTCCTCCTTTTATATTATTCTTGCAATAATTTCCTAGTATTGCAACTTAATTATATGTTGTTTATTTTTAATATAAAGTTTTTCACTAATTAAAAATTGTAACTTGAGTAAAATGTTGCATCAGAAATCTCGAGATGTGGAATTCAAAATTATGGTAATTTGAGTTCAAATTACTAGAATTAGTAAATCGATTGAATTAAATTAATTTAAAAAATCATTACTCAATAAATTTCGATTTCTTTTTAACAAAATACAAGTTTATACAAGGCGTTTGTTTCCGGAAAATTATAACTCCTTAATAATTTTTTAAATTTTTGATCGACCTTCAACCAGTTATTATCTACACAAAACAATAAAAAATGTCAATAAATTTTTTAAAGAAGTTTGATAAAGTAATTGGTGTCTAATTAGATAACCGACAAATTCCACGACTCAAAAACGTTAAATTTTCTGAAAGACACTTTCACTTGTCACTCGTAGAGCAAGTGAAAAAATGTGAAAAATGTAACTCATTAGCTAGTCACACTTACAGTATCCGGAGGAGTCCCTTGCGGCGTCTCCTCCTTGTTGGATCCCTGGACGATATCAGTCGGTCTCGACATCATTTCGAAAAATCTTGATTCAAATATCACGTTTTAAAGTTGTCAACAGACTGAGCGACAAATGCAAACAGGCTCTCTTTTAATAGTTACGGACTTGTTCTGCTAAATGACCCTTAGGCCGCTTATCAACTATCTGTAAAATTTGCTCTTTTTGAAGGCTTATGAAATATTATTTTAAAATTGCACGTAATATCCTCCGGATTGTTTAAATTTCATCACTGAAAACAACGATAACGGAGGATATTTGTGTGTATTTGAAGAAATTTCGGATTTATTTCGAATTGTTCATGACGATAGTGATGGAAGAAAAACAAAACAAGAATCATTGCAATGACTTTGCATGTTTTTATTGTCGATTTAAATAAAATTCGAATTAATTTCTTATAAATTAACTTATTTTAAATAATTGTTACGTACAAGGTGTATTTTTGCAATTAAATTTCCTATTTTGGAAAATTTGCGATCGAAAAATTTGCATGTTTACAAATTTTTGTATTGTCTATTTGAAAAATATTTTTCCATTTTGCATCACATCATGTTGCGAGAACTAATATTTTGCAATCGTGTTAACTTGACCCGTAAAATTTTATGAAATTGTTGATAAAATAATTTGTTTATTGAATGCCGGCTTTATTATCAAACAAATTGACTATTAATCACTTGATAACAGTTAAAAAATAAATCGTGGCATTTCCAGTGTTAATATTGTTGTGTTGGGTTTAACAGAAAAAAAGATGTTTCTAGAATTTGATTTTAATTCTCAACTTATTTATTGTATTTAAAAACAAAAAGAAGTACGTAATATGTGCATATTATAAAATTTGTTTTGAATTTAGGACAATTTTGATTAAAAGCTAAAAATATTTTTTCAAAAAAAGTGTGTTTTTCAAAATTGGACCAAATGAACTTTCAGTAAGTACTTTCAAAATGTTTTTAGAGATTTTGAAAAGTACATTTGTCGGTTAAAATAAAAAAAAATACGTTCTATAACTTTTCTTTCTCAAATACACGGGCTGTCCGGCAAAACCGTTGAAAGATTTCGAGAGGTGGTTTCCTCCTAGGTCAAAATAAGAACAAAAGTTTCTATAGATCTATATCCGGAAATGTTTTCTAAAACAGCTCGACGTTATACTCGTATGAAAAAATTCACTGCGTGGGTTGCTTTTCGAAACTAAGTTGTTGCCCGGTTAAGAAAAAAGTTGTTTTATTTTGAAAACGGTGCGTTGCGTTGTACAAAAATAACATACGAAACATTTTTTGAAGAAAATTAACTAATAAGTAAACCCGAATCTAAAAAAAAAAAATTCCGAAAATTTTGTAAATTTATGTTTTCCGGTTAATGAGATAATTGAAAAAAAGCCTTTTGCCCGCCATCTTCAGAGAGCATCTCAGGAAGCATTTCCCGATATAGCGCCATAAGGACTTTTTCTCTTTTATTCTGACCTAGAAAATCTCCCCCAGAAATTTTTTAACGTTTTTTTGGGACACCTGTACATATTTTAAAACTTGTGGAGCAATATTTTACCTTATGAAGGTTTTAGAAATATAATTTTCTAGATATAAAATCACGATCTCGATACGATGCAAATAGTTAAAGGTGCTCTAAAAAGGAATGACCTTGGGCGTTTATTTTATTAACAAATAATTTTATTATAAATAATTTTTTGCCTATTCGGGCAAACTCGGGCACCAGAGAAAAATGGTAAGATACCAGGAACATAGAAAAAAGGTTAAAAAAGATCTATCTATAAAAATCTCGTAGTTATGAGAGTTTAAATTTTGCACTTTGTCTCTATTTATTTCTGTTGGAATAATAATTTTCTAAGTTTTTTTGCTATATTCAAAGAGGAAACAAGAAAGCTGTATTCTAAATTGAAACTCTTTTTAATGTTATTTGTGGCTTTTATTAGCAAAAATTTTGTACCTTTACTAAATAATTTTAAAAAACCATATACATATACAAGATTATCAGTATCATTAGATTGAAATAAAAATGTCAAATGTCAAAAAATAAATGTCAAAATTTTTGACAGATAGAATTTTTTAAACATTCTTTCCATGTTGATATCTTATCTTACTTGAAATTTTTTTCTGAGGCGCGAGTTCTTAGACATCCTGTATTACACATCAAATGAAAACTTTTTTTAATTTCATAGGAAGCTGTGTTGTAATTTTTTTAATTTTTAAATTCTTTTAAGAGTGTAGTCCACAGATTTCTTAGCAACACAAGAAATAAATATTATTCTATATTTATCTAAAAACTATGGGAAAATTGTAAAACGTTTAGGTAGCTGCCGAATGTCTCTAAAAGTGCATTTTCCAATTCGATTTCTTTCTGCAAAACTTAAGGAGTTTTGCAGGTTTCAGCAAAAAAAAAAGACTTTACTCCTCATAAAAGACAAAAACAAAATTCTTGAAAATATTTCTTTGTTAAATTTGTGTTCTATTTGGTATAGTTTAAAATTAAAAGTGGTTTAATAATTTTTTTTAGTTCAGTCTATATCGTGAATATGAGTGGAAACAAAAATAACAAAAAAAAACCTTACGTGATGGACAATTTTGGGGATCATTTGTAGATTTTCTTAACAAAATTACATAGGATACAGGTATTTTTATCAATGTTAGAAAAAACTGTCGCCTAGTATTATGCATTATAGGGCGACAACCTTATTTCTGTAAAACGGAAAAGCTAAAATACAGGATGCGCCAGAACTCGCGCCCCAGAGAAAATTTTCAAGTAAGGTAAGATACCAGGAACATGAAAAAACTGTTTAAAAAACTCCATCTGTCAAAAAATTTTGACATTTATTTTTTAACGTTTGACATTTTTTATATCTATTTAATAATACTGATGATCTTGTATATGTTTTTTTTACAATTATTTAGTAAAGGGACAAAAATTTTGACAATAAAAGCCACAAATAACATTGAACAGAGTTACAATTTAGGATACAGCTTCCTTGTTTCCTCTTTTAATAACCTACAGCAAAAAAACTTGGAAAATTATTTTTCCAACAGAAATAAATAGAGTCAAAGTGCAAACTTTAAGCCCTCATAACTTCGAAATTTTTATAGATAAAATTTTTTTAACATTTTTTCTATGTTCATGGTATCTTACCTTAGATGGCATTTTTCTCTGGGGCGCGATTTCTGGCGCATCCTGTATTTTTTAACATAAACATAAAAAGCTAAAATTTTCGAAGTCATTGGCGGATATTTTTTCTAAGTTCTTAAAAACCACTAAGTAATTTAAAAAAAAAATAAGAAAAACCAACTTCAAAATTAAAAAAAAATGTGTGTTTCCTTAAAATTCTTAAAAACTGTGGAGCAGACATAAGTCAAAACCTATGATTTTCTAACCGTGTTTTATCCACAAAGTTGGTATCATCAGAAGATACTATTTTCAGCATTTCCTGTTTTTTTTTGTAAATTTTCACATTTACACACAAGCCCTACCTGGTTTTGTTGTCTTACTAAGATTTTTCTGAGTAATGACATCATTCTTTACCAGACCAGCTTTTTCCTGATGCAAATCCATCCACAAAGCTTTTCTTGCAATTTAAGACAGATGTCCTACGTGGTCAAGTGATTATTTTATTGCTATTCCGAGCTGCGTAAAAGCACTGATGTAAAAGATTCATTTCAGTGTCTTAAAGTGGTGCAATACTAAACTTAATTTAATTGTTCTTACGTTTATTTGGGCAAAATGTACTTAAAACAAGTATTAGTTTGTGTCTACGTGATATTTTTTTGTGGTAAGCAATTTTTGAATATCTGGTGTTCGAAAATTTTTTAACTTTTGAGCAAAATTGAACTAAGACCATTTAATTATTAACTTCAAATTAAATTGAATTAAATATAGTGTAGAAAAATGTCCAATTTAAAAATGTTAGTAGCATTTGGCCTTACAAATCTTAAGAAAGTGATAAGAATAATGCAATTTGAAGTGTGAACACAGCTGCTTCAGCGTTAATTCCTCAACTCTTGACCTCTCTTATTAAAATGCCTTAAGATAGATTTATATTTAAATAATTGAAATTGATTTCAGTTGTTGGTGGTGAAAAAGATGTAACAAATGTTAATTTTGATTTAGAAAAAAATGAAAACACAAGTTTAACATTGCCCGATTCACTTTTAAAAATCCAACAAAGCAAGGGAAATAATTTGATTATCAATAATACGAAAAAAATTGATCGAAAAGAGAAGAAGAAGAAAAAAAAGGAACAAAACAAAGTAAAAAATATTTCGGAACAAATTGAAATCACACAATTAATATCAGGAAACAAAACATCTCTTCGCAATGACTTGAAGAAACAACGAAAAAAGAAGAAACGAAAGAAGAACCAAAGTAATATTCTTGAAATCACAACAGCTAGGATTATCGAAACAAACCATTCTTCAATAATTGCTAACATCAGCAAAAATCCCGAGCGATTTTTAAATGAAATCTTAAAACTTCGAAAGATTTCGTCAAAAAAACGTAACAGATGTACCAAAAACAAAGGCGGTTGCTCGCAAATATGCAGACCTCGAGGCAAATTAAAATGTGCGTGTTTAAGGGGCTACACTTTAGCCAAAAATCGCAAAAAATGTGTCGGTGAGTGCCAACCAATTTTGTTGCGTTTTAGTAAAATTTTCTTTTTAGATATCAACGAATGCAAAGTGAGAAACGGAGGTTGTGCCAAAATCTGCAAAAACACTCTAGGGGCGTTTTATTGTGATTGTCCTTCAGGATTACGCATAGCAGAAAATTCGAAATCCTGCGAGGACATCAACGAGTGCCATCTGCGGAATGGACATGGACCGTGTCAAGGATTCTGCAGGAATTTTTATGGGTCGTATTCGTGTGTTTGTCCTAATGGAACACGTTTAGGTAGGGAAATGAAATTACATACAGGGTGAAGTTTGTAATAAATATATTATTAAAAGAACGAAAGAATTGTTTGGTCAAATTTGCATTGATTAAATTTTGAAATAAGTATTTTTTTAATTATATTTTCTAGTTAATTAACATTAAAAAAATTAAATTTTACTCATTTTTAAAGAAAATCTTGTTCTATTGTATTTATTTTTGTGATACAGAGTGACAACTAAAAGTGACCAAATTATATTTTCAAACGGTTTAACGTAACGCACTCTATTTTTTGTTTTTATTGTATTTTACTTACCAGGAATTGATTTTATTTTTTTTAAATGCACATTTATATTTTTACAAGTGATTTTTCAAATATAATGTATTGTGAAAAATTTTGAAATATACTTCAACTTTGTCAAGAATGTAGGCCACGAAACAATGCAGGTTTAACTTTATTTTGAATTTTGGAATAAATGTTGCAAAAAATAAATTATAATTACTTAATTAAATTTATATTTTTTTATTTGAAAGTTACATATTCTTCAAAAAAGAATGCATATTTTAAAAAAAATACAAAACTTAAGTTTACAAAATGCCTATTTTAAAATGAGAGTAGTTATTTCTGAATTTTTTTGCCGCAACTAACAATACTAATAAAACTAACTGCTAAATTAAATATCTTATTTCCTTTAAATTAGAAATCAAAGTAAGTTGGATAGATTTGCCGAAAATGTCAGATTGTACAATAAGTTGCGGCAAAAAAAAAGAAATAATTCTCTCGTGAATAACCCTGTATAATAAAGAAAATTAAATTTGGATTAAACTATGGGTAGTACCGGGTGGGGCAGCCGTTATGCCCAAAAAGAAAATCCCCACTTCTAATTAAATAAAATTGTTGAATTTTTTTACATTTACCTGGGCACTAGTAAGGTACATTCTCTAATTTTTGGTAATTTTTCATTCGCAAACAAAGCCAAAAAAAATAAAAAGTAATTTTCTCCCAAAAAATTTAATTCTAATTTTTATACTGACCTACGCAGATTCACTTCCTACAATTGTTTACAAAATCAGAAAAAAAATACCAATTATATTTTGAATTAAACGCAATTTTTGATCTTAACTTTGAAAATCATTTTTATTTATGACCTGCTTACTTGTGCCATCGTAAATTTAGGTAACAATGGAAGGTTTACAACAAAAAGACCCTTTAAAGCGGTCGGCTACCAGTAAATGATTCTTTTGTTGGCAAATTATACCATTTTGTCATAAATCACGGTGTTTAAATAAAAAAAAGCGATTATTTGACTAACCAAGTCAAAATTTGAAATTGTGATATCAAAGTTTGATGCGCTGACAGGTGCAGATTCATTTAGTGTAAACTTTTTATAGGTAAATTAACAGAAAGTATTCATAAAACACACAAAACTGTTACGGACTCATTTATTATCCAAAAAAATTAGAAAAATACCTATCAATAATAATTAGTTAGGTATATGAAATATCGCCAGTTTTAATTAATTTGAAGTCGCGATTTATAAAGTGCGCGTAACTGATGCCCCACCCGGTATAAATAAAATGTAGCAAAAGCTTTTACTACAGTTTTGTCTCTTTTTTTCACAAAAAATCTAAACTACGTCTATCTCTTACTATTACAAGTAGAAGCATTTACTTATCTTTATTCATACAGCTCAATATCTTTTTTACTAATCTGTCAGATTTTAGTTTTTTATTAATAATAAACATGGAATAATGTTTAGGTATGAAAAATTACACAAATCTCATATCATCTCCAATATTGCCAACTTAATTTCAAAATAAAAGTCCACGTGGACCAAAGATTTAATTAAGAGTTTATAAAACAAAATTTGATTATTTTATAGGTCCCGATAAGCATTCTTGCGAGGATATAAACGAGTGTGAAGTGTCAAATTCCGGATGTTCCCATTTTTGTATAAATACAAGAGTTGGGGCGTTCTGTAGCTGTCCTAGGGGGTTGGAACTCATGTCAGACTACAAGACTTGTCAAGGTTTTGATTTCCATTATTTTTTGCAATTTTATATAAAAAAAATTGCAGATATTGATGAATGTGAAGATCATTTAAAGACAAAATGCAAAGAAGGGTGTGTTAACACAATTGGCTCGTATTATTGTGAAGAAAATTTACAAAATGATTATTTGGGAAACAAAAATAAAATTACGAGTTGTCCACCTCTAGAACCACCAAAATTTGGGTTTATCACATGTTTGCGAAACAACTCGATGGAGAATTTCGGTAAAAGTGGACGCAAAATCGTTGCGAATTATCCAGGCACTCGGTGCAAACTCCAATGTCCTCAAGGATTTAAACTTATTGGAAATGGGCGATTCCTGTGTTCAATTTCCGGGAAATGGCTTATAAAGAGAGGATTTTGCACAAGTAATTTTTTATTTTTTATTCTTATCATATAAAAAAATGTTATTTCAGAGGCACCTTATCCAAAACTCGTTTGCCCTCCTGGACAATTTTTCAGTTTGGGCAAAAATCAAAAAACAGCTCTGGTACATTTTCCCTCTCCTCAAACCAACATCAGGTGGAAAATCGTCAAATCCTACCCCGAGTGGGCAAAAACCCTCAAAGGCGAATTGCCCGAAGGCCGACACAGTATTCAATTCTCCATAACCGACCCTGAGTCAAAACTAACCTCAACTTGTTCATTTCTTATCACAATAAAAACACAATGATTTTGGTAATTTTTATTTAAAATAATTTTGTTAGTCTTGTACAAGGAAATCATGTTAACAACACTTGTCGTACCATTCGAAGTAGCGGTGCTTTTTCTGCAAGTGGGGTGGTAGACGACTCTCGTTGTGTATTCTATGGGGCGGTATTCTGAACCCTTGGGGCTGCAGTGGGCCCGAAACGCGGACGTGTCTCCAGTAACACCCAGCTTCGCTTGCGATCTTGTTCTATTTTTTTCAACAAAAATAGATAAAAATTTTAGCAATTAATTTCTATTTATTCGGGCCATTAAACTTAAAAACGGTTAACCAAACAATTTCGTTATCTGTTTTTACATAGAATGATCGAAAATACAACAAAAATCAACGTGCAATATTTAAATTGAAAAAAAAATGTTAAAATTTGAAGGCCTTTCAAATAGACCGGTCAAAATACACATTTCAAATAACTAAAATTCCGACAGAGCTAAATTTTGGTGGAGATCTTGGGTGTCAAAAAAAAAAAAAGTGTCAAAAGTCCCCATCGATCCCATGTGTGCTAAAAAAGTTATTCGTGGTCAAAGGTCAAAATTTGACGTTTTTTAGATTTTTTTCGAAAACGGTAAGTTTTATCAAAAAAGTAGCCCAGACAAATTATAGACCTTAAAATTATCTACAAAAATGGTCCTTATACTTTTTTTTCTAAGAATCACCATTCCTGAGATATCGCAATTCTAAAAGTTGAAGGAGTCACGTTCTACATACAGAGTGCGCCAGAACTCCCGCTCCAAAGTCAAATGCCATGTAGAGTGAGGTACCACGAACATGGAAAATATTAAAAAAAAAAATTATCTATAAAAATCTCAAAGTTATAAGTCTTGTTTCCTCTTTTAAAAGCATATAGCAAAAAAACTTGGAAAATTATTTTTCCAACAGAAATAAATAGAGTCAAAGTGCAAACTTTAAACCCTCATAACTTTGAAATTTTTACAGATAAAATTTTTTTAAGATTTTTTCCATGTTCCTGGCATCTTGCTTTATATGGCATTTTTCTCTGGGGCGCGAGTTCTGGCGCACCTGTATGCAAGATCATCAGCATCATTAAATAGACATTAAAAAATGTCAAATGTTAAAAAATAAATGTCAAATTTTTTTGACAAATAGAATTTTTTAAACATTTTTTTCAGTACTCTGGGGACTACCCAATTACTCCCTTTCAAGAAAGTGCGCGATTTTTTGAACACCTCTATGTATTACCAAATAAATTCTTTTTAATTCTAATGGAATCGAAATGTTTATAAGTTTAATGAAGTAGAAGAAAAATTTCAAGTAAGATAAGATACCAGGAACATGGAAAAAATGTTTAAAACATTCTATCTGTCAAAAACTTTTGACATTTATTTTTTGACATTTGACATTTTTTATGTCTATTTAATGATACTGATGATTTTGTATAAGTTTTTTACAATTATTTAGTAAAGGTACAAAACTTTTACCAATAAAAGCCACAAATAACATTAAACAGAGTTACAGTTTAGGATACAGCTTCCTTGTTTCCGCTTCTAATAGCCTGTAGCAAAAAAAACTTGAAAATTATTTTTCCAACAAATAAATAGAAAATTTAAACTTTCATAACTTTGAAATTTTTATAAATAGAATTCTTTTTTAATTTTTTCCATGTTCGTGGTACCTTACCCTACATGGCATGTTGTCTTTGGAGCGGGAGTTCTGACGCACTCTGTATGTGCATATCATGTAGAACGTGACTCCTTCAACTTTTAGAATCGCAATATATCAGGAATGGTGATTCTTAGAAAAAAAAGTATAAGGACTATTTTTGTAGATAATTTTAAGATCTATAATTTTTGTCTGAGCTACTTTTTTGATAAAACATACCGTTTTCGAAATAAATTTAAAAAACGTCAAATTTTGACCTTTGACCCCGAATAACTTTTTTAGCACACATGGGATCGATGGGGACTTTTGACACTTTATTTCTAATTGTGTACCCAAGGTTCCACAAAAATTTAGCTCTGTCGGAATTTTCGTTATTCGACCACTATTTTTATGACTAATTTGACCGGACTAAAATTTTATCCTTATTCGTGTTTTGGGAAAAATATTTTTTTTAACTCCTTAAAGGCCGTGATTGAACTCTAAATTTTTGAAATGATGCGCTCAAGTTTTTAAACTCACATTATAGAGATCTGGAGGATTTGACATGTATTTTACTCCACTTGGGCAAACCAAAACTGCGCGATATCTTTCCGACCTTTTTTCTAAATTTGATGCAAGGTCATTTGAAGGTGAGTCAATTTCTTCCTTTATATCGACAGTAAAGTGGCAAAAAGCTCGATTTCCAGCTTCGTCACTTGCGACGTAATTGACGTGATGTAAGCCAACGCCGAACGAAGTTCCAGGTTCCTGAAAATAAAAATAAAATACAAAGGAAATAAATAAAATTTAAAGGACGTACTCTAGACTTATAAAGCCTTGCTATTCCCACATTATCACTAAATTGGGGCTCTTTCCAGAACACTAATTGGCTTTTGCGCCCTCTTGGAAGAGTATATTCCATGTTTGTGGGACATCCGGCAACTTTAGGGTCTTCTATATCCAAAATTGTAATAAGTAATTTACAAGAAGTCAAATTAGAGTGGAGGAGAAGACTTGGGTCTTCAGGGTCGACGTAGAACGTCAATTCGGTGTGACCAGCTGGTAAGATCGTACCTAATTGCATACCCCAACTAGGCTCAGCCTTTACATCTCTGTAAAATAAAAATTTAAAATAATAATAAAAACAATAAAAAATCTACCTGATCCAATTTGCGTTTGTTTCAGGCTGAGGTATCTTCGCATACATGTGCCTCTGTCCTTGGGGCAAGGTATAGGTCAGGTGACCCCCTCCGGGACACTTAATATACGTATGTTCAATATCTGTAAAAATAAAAACATAAAAACCAAATTTTTATATTAAAAAAAATATTTCACCTCGGACACAAACGTCATGAAGACGATTCACCGCTTCTAAAGGTTCCCAAATCAAGTCTTCACTGCATGAAAGAAATTCAAATCGGGGACGCAATTTATAGCCCTTTTTGCAATAAATTCGACATTTTTCACCCGCGTAGGTAAAACCGTTATTACAGTTACTGGGCAGAAGCCAGCCGTTTTGGATAGGGCCAGGACGCGGACAAGCAGCAGCTAAAAAGTAATCCGGGTTTAAAACAGAGATTTTTCTACTATGACTTTGAAGGATTCAAAAAAAATCGTTTTTTAACAATGCATAAAAAAGACCAAAGATACAAAGCGGTTATATGTGATTTTTATCTATGAACGTACATACACCCTGACGGATTATCAAAATTAATTCCTGAATTAGAAGCATTTTCAATTGAAAATGTTTGAGGATTAGAATCTAAGAACGTAGGCTTTTGCGGCGAGAGTCAGGTTGAAATATCTGTTTTTTTTTGGATTAGACCGCGTCAATTTAAAAAAAGATCGACGTTTTGCCCGTTCTTGTGAAGGACATCTTCAGGACAAGAAAAAGGGAGCTATGGCACGGTAACTCACGGATCTTGCGGGTGGTGAAAGCATTGAAATTCGTAAACACCCCATAACTTCAACCGCGAAGAAGGTTACTATCTCTCCAGCATCTGGAATAACGCGATCCCCCACTCCCAGCCAATCACGCAACGACTATCCCCATCGTCACCCAATCCGCATTTACCAATCACACGTAATCCTCTCCTACTCGTCTATAAATACCCCTGTTTCTTCATTTTTCGGCAGTTTTGGTTTCGCCTTTGGTATCGTTGAGATATTAAGTTACCGTGACATAACCTCGCTTTCTCCCCTTTTCTTGTCCTGAAGATGCCCTTACAAGAGCGGGCAAAACGTCGACCTTTCCTTCTAAATTGACACGGTCTAACCCAAAAAGACCCAGATTTGGATTAGAATCTATGTTGACAATTTCGAAATCTTTAGAAGAATTATCATTGATAACAACTCTGTTGTCAGTTTACCCTTCACCTAAAGTGTTTGTTTACTTCTGAAAATTGACGGTTGGCGATCAAAATTAATTTATTTAAATGTTTACCAACCATAAATGAGTACTTTAGCGTTAGTTAATCTTTTATTAATTAATCAGTTTAACCAAAAAACGCTTAACTCCATACTTTTTATCCACTCTGTATGAAACCATACAGAGCATAAAAGTAACTACCTAATTCATAAAATTGATAAACGCCTATGGATTCAAGCTCTGTTATTTCACTTATTTCTCAGGTACCCCTTTCGCTTCCATAGTAATGTTTATTGGTCAATTTGTTTTATAGTCATCGAATACAGGGATTTTTACAATAGCAAATAATGTTACTCACCTACACATTGGGGTTCTTTGCCCCCCCAGTTCCCTGTACTTTGGCACACCCTCACCGACTCCCCCACCAGTTTGTGTCCCTCGTTGCACCAAACCATGCATTTTGTCCCCACTGGTGCAAGACTCCCTTTATCGTAATTCCCTCCAATGCATTTAATAATCCCTTGATCGGGCGCAGCAGGAATTCGGCAATCCCGAAATGTAATAACAGCACAAGTCCTCCCATCTTCCTGCAAAGCGTATCCTTGCTCACATCCACACTTATGCCCCCCTTTGTAATTAATACATGTCATCTGACAATTGCCATTATCCTCCAAACACTCATTTATGTCGACACAAGTCCGGTTATCAAATCCCAATTCAAATCCGATAGGACAAGTGCATTGGAAAGATCCGGGGAGGTTTTTGCAACTGTGCGAACAGCCCCCTCGTCGAATTTTACATTCATTAATATCTTTACAGACGAGGTTATTTGGTCGGAGGATGTAACCCGAGGGACAAGAACAGCGAGCGATGCCATCGATATTGTGACATAGGTGCGAACATCCCCCGTTGTCGATTAAACAGGGATTGTCCTCAATGCAGTTTGTATTGTCGACAAGTTTTAATCCCGAAGGACATAAGCATGACGCGATCCCGTCATTGGACACGCACGTATGCGAACAATTCCCGTTATTAATCTGACAGGGATTAATCCTAGTGCAAGTTTTGCCAATTAACTCGTAGTGTTGTGGACATTTGCAGACAGCCTTCCCCTCCACAACTTCACAAATGTGGGAACACTCACTATTGTCACAGGGATTAACAGGGATGCAATCTTTGCCATCTAGTTCGAATCCTTCGGGACACAAACAGTAGACAATGTTTGACTCGGAGGTACACTCGTGGGAACAACCTCCATTGTTTTGGCTACAGGGATCAACAGGGATACAAGTTTTGCCTTCCAAGGAGTATCCATCGGGACACAAACAGTAAATATTGTCCCCTTCTTCGGTACATTCATGAGAACAACCTCCATTATTTATTGAGCATAAACTAATTTTTACACAAGTTCGACCATCTTGCGATAAATTGAAAAATTTAGGACAAACACACTTAACTTTGCCCTCAAAATTTTGACACAAGTGTGAACAACCGCCATTTTGGATGGTGCAAGGGTCCCGTGGGATGCAATTTCGACCATCGGGACCCAAATCATGATCACTGGGACACAGACAGGTCACTTTATGGTCACTAAAGTGACAATCATGGGAACAACCACCATTTTCAACCAGGCACAAATCCGGCTCGCAATGTGTCTGATTGACTAGGATAAAATCTTCAGGACATTGACAGGTGACTTTAATCCCGTCAGAGACACACTCGTGTGAGCAATTCCCGTTATCGGTGTCACAAGGATCAGGGATTATGCACGTTTTGTCCCTTAAGTCGTACCCTTCAGGACACGAACATTTGACCTCTCCTAAATCATTCGAAAAACATTGGTGTGAACACCCGCCATTTTTGATAAGACAAGGATCTTTGCGGTAGCAAATCTTGCCTTCAAGATAAAAATTATCAGGGCAAGAACAAGATAACTGGTCTTTTTCAAAGTGGCAAAAGTGAGAACAACCGCCATTTTGATCAAGACAGAGATTTTTAAGGTAACAAGAGGTTTCGTTATGTAAGTCATGAGTGTCAGGGCATGAACAAATGATAGTGTGGTTGGTAAAATCGCAAAAATGGGAACAACCCCCGTTGTGGTCCAAACAGGGATTTTGTTCGATACAGATTGTCCCATTGGTCAAATCGTGTCCCTCGGGACAAAGACAATTGGTTTGGTCGTTGATGAATTCACAAAAGTGGGAACAACCCCCATTATTGACTGTACAAGGGTTGATTTTGACACAATTTTTGTCGTCTAATTCATATCCTTCGGGACATTCACAGACCACTTCATTGTTGACATTTGTACAAATATGGGAACAGCCACCATTGTTTTCATAACACGGGTCAATTGACACACAAGTGTGGTTGTCGTGAGTCAAATGAAAGTCTTTGTGACACTTGCAGAGATAACCCCCGTCAAAATTCTCACAAATTTGTGAACAATTGCCATTGTTGTCCTCACACTCGTTGATGTCTTGACAATTTGACTCATCCTCAGTTAACTTGAATCCTGGTTTGCACCCACATTCGTACCCTCCGTCAAAATTGTAGCACAATTGATCACAATAATTGAAATGGTTTTGCTCACATTCGTTAATGTCGAGACAGGTTTTCTGGTCGGGAGCCAACTCGTACCCCCTTTCGCACAAACACCGAAAACTCCCTTTCGTATTCTCGCATTTTTGCCCACAAACGCCCTTCTGGCACTCATCAACGTCGCTACAAGTCTTGTTGTCGCGCTCCAGAGCAAACCCATCGTAGCACGAACACGAATAGGAGCCCTCGTGGTTGATGCACAGATGGGTGCACCCATGGTCGCCGTCGCACTCGTTGACGTCGTCGCAGGTGATTTTGTTGTGACTTTGGGTGTATCCGCGAGGGCAGATGCAGCGGTAGACGCCGTGGTCGACGATGTGGTCTTGGGGACAAGTGATTTTGGTGCAACTGTTGTTGGCGAGGAGGAGGTAGCCTTCGGGGCATTCACAGTGGAAGGTGCCGATCTCGTTGATGCATTTGTAAGCGCAAGGATTGGAGATGCACTCGTTGATGTCTTGACAGGTGTTGAAGTCGGGGATGTCGAGCTCGTAGCCGGGGGGGCAAAGACATTTGTAGCCGCCATCGGTATTCTCGCAGTCGTGTGAGCAGGAGGCGGCGTTGGAGAGGCATTCGTCGATGTCTAAAAAAGAAACAAAATTTTCGATTATACAGGATGTCCCCAGATAATATCCGTTTACGAAGTTGTTGCCGCTAAGCAATACTTATAACAAAATCGAAGGTGACAGGTTCCAGTGCACACAAAACATTTCGCCCTCGATTTCGCCACTCTGAAAGTACAGTGCGATCAAAAAGTCTTTCTATCAAGTACGTGTACCAGTTGAGGACGTATGTCGCTTGGAAGTTTGTATGTCAGCTAGATGTCAAAAAATTCCTTTATAAAAATTAAAATATTGATCTAAACAAATTGAATTACTGTATGAAACGTCTTAAAACACTCTAAAATGTGATGTAGTTGGAGTTTATTCATACAAATCGTTCACCACGATTTGTTGTTACAGTTTACAAAAAAAATATTTTGACATTTCTTATTTACCATTCTGACATTTTATCTTCCGCAGACACACGTTTTCAGTTTCTAGGCTTGCTTGATAGATAAACTTTCACAGGGCGACAAAAAAAGTCATGTCGTGACAAGTTCACAAATTTTATATCATTTTGTTCGTCTCAGTGAGACAAATCAAATACACTAAAAGAAAATTGAAAAAGCCCACACACTTTGAAGTAAATAATTTTTTTCTAATTTAAAAAAATTAAAATACTTTAACTTTAAAAAATCATGACTCAATAACTATTAGGCCGATTTCCTTCAAATAAAGACCATTCTAAAGGGATGGCTTTGCCCTTTAATATGATATGCAATTTGAAATTGAATATTGGCAAACTTTTCTTCGAACAGTGTTTGAAGAAGTTCGAAGTAAATCAAAGTAATCTAAGAAAAACCCTACGAGTAACTTTTTTTTCTTTGTCACCATCGTGTAGAGCATTTTTTTATTAGTAAGAACTCAAATTTTGAAAATTATATACCGAGTAGTTTTTAAGATATGATTTTTTGAAGTTAAGGATTGCTTTTCAGGTATTGCGCCATATAGGAGAAAAGCATGTTAATCTTACTTAAAATTGTATTTTTATAAAAGTATTTGTTTTAAGACTCTTCTTTTGCTTAAAAATGGTCAATTGCACCTTCTTTGTTCTAATTAAAATAGACAAAAACTGTTTCTTTACTTAAAACAAACAGAGAGTACCTGCGTACTAATTAAAGCAAATAAAGAGTTTTTTTGTTCTAAAAATGATAACTGATCATTGAGCAAAAAGGATCTAGAAGTTTAAAGCAGTAGCTTTAAATATAAGAACAAATCTTTTTTAAATTAAATGACTTTCCATTCAGATTCCAACTTATTCACTTTGTTCTAGCTTTCTGAACTTTTTTTGAAAATGTTCTCAGCAAATGCTTTCTCATCACTTTCTATTGATGTTGAATGCAATGTATTACGAGCAGTATCAATATCCCACGATGGATACTCACCAAAGATATACTAGACTTATTCAAACTTCAATACAAATTTGATTACCTATAATAAAATAAACAAAACTCCTTATTCAAAATGAAATAATGAAAAATTAAAGCAGGTGTTTAAGGCTGCAATTTAGAATTTAGAAAGAAAATTTAAATTATTATCCTGTTTCTTTGAATATAAAAGGAGGAGGGTAAGATTTTGCATTGTTTTTCGTAGTTTGTTCATTGTATGAGTTTGTGTGGTGATTATTCTCGCATATTTAAGCAAAATGCCTCAAAATCAACAAAAACGATTTCAAGAAAAACTTGATCAAATAATAAAGTGTTATAAAGTATTTCGAGAAAGAAAAGCAAAATGGTGGTGCCGTGGAATCATTGCTCGCTGTGCAAAAAAGAACTGCTTTTGCCACTGGTGTTTCGGAAATAACGTTTTAAAGCGTAAAAAAGATCCACGTGAGTGGCAGTGATCAAGAAAATGCAAACGAATATCAAGTAAGAAAACCTCTGTCAAATCACCGATATGTCTTAAAAAAATATTGATAAAAGTACGAAGTTTAAAATTCGTAATACCATTTACGACATGGTAGCAAGGAAGAAGTTTGCTACTCTGGATGGTCGTTTATCCGAATTAAAAAGAAAAGAAATAATTGATATCGGCCGGACAAAACTTTGGAAACTTTTACGCAAGTTAGGATTCAAACATAAAAAATATTCAAACAGACCGGTTTTGTGCGAAAAGAAGCATGTTGTGCACTTACGCACAAATTTTCTTCGAAATTATTTAAAAATTAAGAATGAAGGTTTGTATAAAAGTATTGTTGTTTTGGACGAGACGTGGATTTACGAAGCAGGATCTCAAAATCATCGAATCTGGACTGATAACTCAGTAAAAAGTCTTAAGGAAGAAAGTCTCAGGAAGAACTTTATGCGGGAAACGATATATGGTTCTCCACGCAGGAACACAAAATGGTTTTGTCGATGGGGCTGGCAGGATTTCTTCTTCCATTGTCAAGAGCGACGATTATCACTACAGTAAGAACCACGATTATTTTGAAAAATGTTTTCAAGAATTATTGTGCATTCTAGACGAGCCTAGCTTTATCATATTGGATAACCCATCCTACCATTCGAGGATAAAAAATAATCAACCGACAGCAAGTTGGAAAAAGGCGGAGATAATGAAATGGCTTTGTGAAAATAGCATAACGTTTGAAGAGACACTATTGAAGAAAAAAATGTTGCTTCTTGCGAGAGCTAAGAAAAAAGATAACATATGAATTAGCACAACAAGCAGGGCACAAAGTTTTGCGTTTACCTCCTTATCACTGCCAATTTCATGCAGTTAATTTAAATTCAGACGAAAAAATATTATGACAAACACATTGGGAGAAACGGCTACAGTGAAGAAGCTGTTTTGGCAATGTGTAATAAATCACTACAAGTTCAACCTGACAATTTGAAGAATTGTTTTTCCCACGTTGAAACTGTTAAATCAGTGGTGACAACGAGAACAATTAATAGATGAAGTGGAACCATTAATTATAACGTTGTGACGACACTTCTTCATCCGAAGAATATTCTGATACATAATTATTATTAGCCATTATTATTTTTATTATTTCATTTTATAAATTAATGTTTCTTAAATATTTTTAAATAAATTTGAGTCGTTACATTTTTGTTACCACTGATCCGGAATTCTGCTTCTCATTTGAAAGTTTTACGTCACTATCTTCCTCTTACTTTGACAAGATACAGTGACTTGGAAAAACAAGGATAGACATATTGAGTAGGTACCCAAAACCCTTGATTTTCACAACAAAAGAAACAGGCACGAGCGTTCGGTTTGAGGGTGATTATAAAGATTTACAAGGGGTACGGTATATGGCTTAGCGGCAACAGCTTCGTGAACGGATAATAAATGAAATAACTATTGTAAAAGATCAAAAATTCACGACTCTAATTTTCATTTTTTAGGGTTCAGCCTTGTTTAGTTGGAGAATAATTTCTAATATAATTTTAGTTTCGAAAAATCAAGTAAGCCTTGGGAATTTTCAAAAAAACTTTTTCCTGTAAAGTAAAGTGCTTTTTATGTGATAAACTCCAAAAAATGAAAATTTAAATCGAGAATTTTACAAGAGTCGTTTCACGTAAAATCCGTCTACAGCGAGTTCTTCATCTCAGCCCCCGTCTTCTGTAGCTCAACTATTATTTAAGTTGGAACATTGATATTTTGTAAATTTTATTTATATTCTGGGGCGCATTTCAGAAAAATATTTTTGATTATACAAGCTGTCCCAAAAAAATGAGACGTCAAAATGATATATTTTTTAGTGGCATGCTATTATTTTTTGTGCTTATTAAGATGCCTTTTTAGCACCGCCTCCTTAATGAAATGTGTCAATATTCCGCCTGGGCATTTTGTAAAAAATGCATTGGGGCAGTGATTCCACGTTTTTTCTTAAGTTACGTGGGTAACTAAAGAAAAACTGAATGATTTTTAATTATTAACGAAAAATAACACAATTAATAAAAGCTGATATATAAAACCAAGATACGCCAGGGAGAATTGACATTGTAAAGTTGAACCCTTTAAGCTAACACATTGGATGTGTAAAACAATTTCCTCAGATTAAAGCGCCAACGGGAATTTGTTGAACTCAAAAATGCCCAGGCGAGAAAAGGATTATTTCTATCGAGACGGCACGGCGATGCTTTTTATTTATTTACATATCCCAATTTTTTTCTTCAAATTGGTTCAGGCATTTCTGTAAAGACAAATGAAAACCAAAAAAAATGGTTTTACACATTTTCTTTTAAAATTTAATAAAAAATACAGAAAGTGCTTTCTTGATAAAATAAATACTAGGCACTGATTAAATAAAGTTTAACAGTCTTGTTGACCAAGCTTGGTTGATCCGAATTACCACAGGGTATGCATAATTTACTATCAAACTTTTCAAACTTAAAAGCTTTTTATTTTACTTATCTTATTTATTTGTACAGCATACTAATGTTTCTAAAAAAAATACAAAAAATAATGATGGAAAATGAAACACAATATGGTACTTCTTAAAAACAAACTCAGGCCCGTCTAAGGACTATAAGTGTCGCTCGAATCCTATTGGCTACTTAAGTTCCATAGCCGTCTAATGAGGGAAAAAAAATATTATGGAAGTAATCTATTGGATCTAAAATTATTTTGAAATGCATATACATATAGGGAGTTTCATTATTCCGAATCCGTAAACATTTTTTTTTCAAATTACAACTTACATGTTTGTTGCATGTTCTTATTATTTTTCCCAGTATTTTAAAACCAAGTTTAAAACCTTGTTTTGTTTTTAGACTTCGGTTGCGGCGTTGTCAAATTTTTTTATATTATATATATGTCTTAGTCATTGGGCGTAATGCGTCATTCCGCGGAACGCCTAGTCTTTGGCCGTACTGCCGGCAGACGCTGTAATCAAATGAATATTCCTTTGTTTGACTGAAATTTTACGTCATTTCGGGGATTGCTTACTTAAGTTTAGTCAAACATAGTAACCGGTTAAACCAATACATGTTACAGCGTTTGACGAAAGTCATTTGCTGAAAGCTTGAAATTTTATTGTGTAGTATTTCAGGCCGTAACATTTAGTAATTGTTGGACTTTCTTATTGAAAATGGATAATCATAAGAGTTTCTTTTATGACAAATTAAATGAATATTATTTGAAAAACAAAGATGATAAAAAACCGTGGAATTATGAAGTAATGAAGGAGGTAAAAGACTTCTAACCTCAAAATACACCTTTATTTCAGTTGTACATATTTTAGGCTGCAAAAGATATTTCTAAAGAATATATATTTTTTTTAATTTACCTGAAGGCAAAAAAATATATTTTTATCTGTTGTTTAGTCATGTACCTACTTACCGTTTTTTGTATGATTTTATAATAATAATAATGTATATTTATAATATACAGGGTGTTTCACATAATTTTACGAGGCCTGCGCCTGTAAGATGCAATCAATAATACATATTCCGATACCAACTCGATAACAAATTTTGAAAAATTGCATAGTTTTCTCTAGTTTGTTCACCCTTTCAAAAATTACAACATTTTTAGTTAGTTGGTGATTAAGATAGATAAACTAGAAACATATTCATGCCGTCTCTTAATAGAACAAATGATAATTGTTTCTGAAAAACTGCAGTTTATGACCTTTAATTAAACAGTGATTAGTTTGACAACTACTGTCATGGTTTTCTAAAGAATAAATAATTAAATGTGTATTTTTTGTATCTAGTGTTTTGTGACTTTTGTATATTTGGGTGCGTACATTAGGCGCAAGCCTCGCCTCGTAAAGTTGTGTGAAACACCCTGTATATGTTTACATTATTCCAAATAAACGAAACAAATATTTTGCTACAATAAAAAATTTTTAGTTTTTTGGCTTTTATTCTACCAAAAATTTACATTTCTCAATGTCAATCAAGCATTTCAACCCTTTTCAGCAAATGACTAAATACACTTTCGTCAAACGCTGTAACATGTACTGTTTTAACCGGTTACTTTGTTTGAGTAAAATTAAGTGGGCAATCCCTGAAATGACGAAAAATTTCAGTCAAACAAAAATATTCATTTGATTACAGCGTCTGCCGGCAGTACGGCCAAAGACTAGGCTTTCCGCGGCATGACGCATTACGCCCAATGACTACAACATATACCAGGTGAATAAAAAGTATGGAACCAATCGTTTTTTTCGTAAACTAAGCACTGTACGAAAAAAATAATTAGTGTAGCGTAAAGTCCAATTAAAATGTGACCATTTATCAAGAATAACATTTTTCGAAATTTCTTTTAGTTTTCGAGTTCTGGAAATTTTTTTTTTAATGGCATCCCACCATGGTAATTTTTTTAATTAAAGATTATGATCTAAAAATGATTTTTGAAAATTCCACCCTCTAGGGGGCTAAACGGGGATGACAATTTGTATTAAAATATGTCATTTATAACGTTAAATCCTTGAAAATTTGTATTTAGGCTTTCGATTAAAAATCAAGTAATACGTATTTCAAGATTTTTGGAAATTTCACCCTCAAGGGGGTTGAACAAGGGTAAAATTTCGTAAAATATCCGTTTTTTTTTTAAGTTAAATCTATGAAATTTGGTATTTGGGTGTTCAGTTAAAAACAAAATAGCACGTGTTTCAAGATTTTGGAGAATTCTATCACTAAGGTTGACCCCAACTCCTAAAAAAAAATTTAGAAAAAACAATTCAACTTACCAACGCAATCGCCTTTATCATTCATTTCGTAACCCTCAATACAGCGATTATGATCTCCAAAATCGTCATCATCTTCATCATCATAATCTTCATCCTCGTCTTCGTCATAATCTTCACCTTCTTCATCATCTTCATCAATCGCTCTTTCATTATCTTCAAACGCTTCAGTCGTTGTTAAATTTTCTGTTTCAGTACTAATTTCAGGCAAATCGGAATTTTTGTCGCTTTCTTCCGGTTTGGTTAAAGTTTCTTCAGTACTTTCTACATAGTCTTCATTTTTTCCAATCGGGGCAAACGTTGTTACAATATCTTCAGTAGTTCTAGTTGTAGTTGGTAGAGAGTCAACAATTGTGAACGGTTTTTCAGTCAAGTCTGTTTCATCTTCGTAATCTTCTTCTGCTTCATCGTCGTAATCGTCTTCGTCTTCATATTCGTCAGTGTTATTATTCGTGATTTCATCTTTTTTATCAGTTTTATTTTTATCAATACTGTTATTATTATCAAAAACTTCAGACTTATTATGGTTTATCACATTTTTGTTTTTATTAATTTCAAGAGCCTCATCGGCTTCATCAAACTTCAGTTCTGGCACATTATCAATACCGTTGTATTCCTTATCGGAAGTTTCTTCAGTTTTATTTGTCTCTTTCTCGTCTTCATAGTCTTTATCATCGTATTCCTCCTCAGTTTCATAATCTTCTTCTTCACCTTCATAATCTTCGTCTTCATTCACGGGTTCATCCGCCATCGCCACATTCCCACTCTTGGCACAAAAATACGACCCAACTGTATTAACACACCCATATGGGCAACTACCTTTTATTTTCTCATCTTCACATTCATTTACATCTGAAAACCACAATTAAAACTCTTACAGTAAAAAATAATAATAATTAGCCCAACCGTTGCAAGTCTTCCAATCCGACCCCAACTCCAATCCAATGGGACAAGTACAGTACACCCTTCCATGGGTGTTGATACACCCATGCGAACAGCCCGAATTCTTGTCCTCGCATTCGTCCAAATCGGTACACGAGTGCCCATTTGGAGCCAGTTTTGTACCATTGCGACAAATACACTTATACGAACCATGGGTGTTTTCGCACAAGTCCTGACAAGGCCCATGCCCATTTCGCAGAAGACATTCGTTGATGTCTTCGCAGGTTTTACCATCTGGGAGTAAACGGAAGCCGTGAGGGCAAGCGCATTTGTACGAACCGGGAAGGTTGATGCATTTTTTCTCACATTTGTTTTTACCACTTTTACATTCATTTATGTCTGAAATTTTCCTATAAAAAAATGATTTTGAAAATTTGGAAATTACTCACCCACACATTTTTTATTTTTAAAAATGTATCCAGGGAAGCAGCGACAAATTGGTTTGTTGTTTTTAATAATGCAGTCTTGCGGACATTTTGTTTTGATGTTTGGAGGACATTTTGTTAAATTATTTAGAGTCGATTCTGTAATACATAAAAAATGTTTAATGTTTTTTGCATTCGAATTAGTTCATATGTGCGACTCATAAATCATGTCACTCATAAATTATGTCAACAAAGCCCACTAATGGTAATGACACTGTATTCACTGATTTTAATAACATATGTCTTTGAGTGGCAAATAAATGATTAAAAAAATAAAAAAAGAAGATATCACAAACTTGTTTTGAAATTTGAAATAACTCAAATAATAATTAGAATAACTTCAAGAGATTCGCAAATGTGCATCAAATTTTGTTGGGTCAAATAAAAAAATAGATTTTTGTAATTTGCCTTCATTTTAAGTAAAAATGTTTGTTTAAAAATGACATAAAAAGAACAAATTACAAAAAACTGTATAAAATACTCGTTTGACTTGAAGCACTCATTCTTTAAAATAACTCGTGTACGCCACTCGTTTTTTAAACTAGAATTCGTGCTTCAAGACTGGTCTTATGAAACTTGTTTTTTTAATAACCTATTTGTAAATTTTGCAATTATTGTAAAAACGTTCAACTTTAAATCGCTGTACCGTTTGAAAAATGACTTCCTTAAATGTCAAATCATGTGCAGATAACGTTCCCACCGATTAAAATGCTCTACGACGAGTACAGTTTTCGAGATATCGAGTTATTTTGAGCTTTTCCTCAAAATAATACCTCAATTTTTTGTATGTTGAGAAATCACCCAGAATGCTACAGAATCGACAACAAACCGTGTAAAATTGAAAGGGGAATTCGCGTGCGCAATCTGCTTTAACTTATGATCGATAGTTTTTGAGTTACGATTTTTTTTTGAAAACGCGGAAAATAAAAAAAACTGTTTTTTATCCGAAACTTTTATAACTCCAATTAACTCCGAGATTTTACTAAGTTTTTTTGATAGATCATTACAAACCGAGAGACTATTTACTTGAAAACATGTGTACAATTCCATTTCCAAAAAAAAAAAAATTAACGAAATTTCAATAATTCTAATAATAATCCATTGTAATTCCGTATTGTTTTTAGAATAATTCCTATAATTCCAAAAGGAATTCTAATAATTCCAAAAAAATTCCAGTAGGTAATTCATAAATAATTTTAGTAATTCCAACAATCCAACAAAAATATAATAATTCCAAATAAATCCAAACAATTTCGATTAAATCCCAAAAAATTGTATAACTATTCCTTATCCCGGAGAGATTTTGTCAATTTTTTATTTTTCTTGTTTTAACAACAACTAGGTATATATTTTCTTAACTATCGTAAATTTTTATCAATCACACGAAATTACAATTCAAAATAGCAATAATTTGTACTACAAGTACGTAAAATGCTCCGGCAAATAATTACGTCGAGAAACTCAAAAATCCCAGACATTTTAGAAGTTATCAACAGATTTAAAAATTGCCTATTTTTTAAGAGTATTAAACATAAGAAGCTACGATAATAGTTTCGATATTATTGGAGGACGTTCGCTCCGTGAACTGGAAATTAATCAAAATTTGGAAAGAAAAAAAATTAAAAACTTCGAAATCTAACCAAATGATGTTTTTCGCACTCCTAGTAATCCAGGACGTGGAAAAGTGTTAAAAAAGTTGTTGAAATTGAAAAAATTGAATTTGTTGAATGATTTAAGAAATCACAAACATGGTTGATCGACTTGAGGCTGCAAAAGCGATCAAATATGGTTTTTGGCCTCATAATAATCTGTGAACGTCAGATGTTAATTTGACGTTAATACGTATGTTAATACGATCGACAACCACGGAAAACTCGTGCCCCAGAAAAAAATGCCATATAAGGTAAGATACCAGGAACATGGAAAAAATGTTTAAAAAAATTTATCTATAAAAATTTCGAAGTTATACGAGTTTAAATTTTGCACTTTGAAGCTATTTATTTCTGTTGGAAAAATAATTTTCCAAGTTCTTTGCTACAGGCTATTAGAAGAGGAAACAAGGAAGCTGTATCCTATATTGTAACTCTGTTTAGTGTTATTTGTGGCTTTTAGTGGAAAAATTTTTGTACTTTTACTAAATAATTGTAAAAAAAACACATACAAGATCATCAGTATCATCATGTTCCTGGTATCTTATCTTACTTGAAATTTTTCTCTGGGACGCGAATTTTGGCGCACTCTGTATAAGATATATCCTTTTGGAGATCGAAAAATAATTTAGCAGTGTCTCGCGTGCCCAAAAATCACCCAAAGCAACCTGAAATCAACAATTTTTATGTAAAATCGAAGAAAAATTTGACTGTGTAAACCGTTTTGTTTGTAGTTTTGTTTTTAATGTTATAATTATTTTTACTCGTATTTTGAAAAGTCAACCCCAGGTTTTTTCGATACAATAGAATTATTAAAAACAGATTGATTGACGTTTTCTGGCCATAGGTCATTATCAAACTTAATTACCCCCTGAGCTGAACTTTATTTAGATTCAAAATAATGACAGTCGGTATATTTCTCCCTCAAATCAGTAACATTTATTTTCTCGCCCACCTCTTTACATTTTTTTACAATTTTACAAAGATGTTCTATTACACAAAGTGCGTCCCACATTTGAGATAAATCCTATCAAACAAATGTCTGTTTATTGTGTCGTGACTTTAGAATAAGTTTATAAATTTGCTCGACCGGTAAAGTGATACTTTTATTGTTTGTTGTAGGTTGTGATTTATTCAAATATTTGGTCTAAAAGTTTTCAAAAAGTCTACTTACCACTATCTAAAAATAAATTATCCGTTTTATCTTCTTGACTTTTTGTATTTTTACAGCTGCAGCGGTGGCAACCTGAAAAAATATCAGTCTGTTTAAATTTATTAAAATCTCATTTAGAATTTTCGATGGACAGTTACATGCCATTGCCCAAATAAGGGGGCTATCAAGAACGTTCTGTCAATTGCGCAAGTTACGTCTCATTCAAATTACACAATAAAACATGTTAAGGAAGAGGAACAGGAAAAATAATGACAATTTTTATTGTTTTCGTTTAAACTTATTTCATATATTTTTAGACTCTCCTTAGACTTTATTGTTGCGTTATAAATAGAGTGGGATTTATCTGAAGTGTTTGAAAATAAGTCACACCAACAGGGATTGAGTCACATTGCAATCAGTGCATCTGTTACTTCATTTCGAGTTACTGATTATTTTTGTTGTTTTGGTACACAATTATACAAATAAAAAAAAACAGAAACATAAACAAAATATCTTGTCTACAGATTATTCTTATATTTCGGAAGTAGTCATAGTAAAATGCCATGTAAGATAAGATACCAGGAACATAGAAAAATGTAAAAAAAATTCTATCTATAAAAATGTCGAAGTTATGAGATTTGTGGCTTTTATTGGTCAAGATTTTTTGAAAGAAAGAAATTTTTAAACATTTTTTCCATGTTGTTGATATCTTATCTGACTTGAACTTTTTCTCTGGGGCGCGAATTCTGACACACCCTGTATAAATTTTTGTAAAGAAGCATTAAAAAATACTTAATAGACGATTTTTGTTTCACAAAAAATATTCCACATTTTTAATAGAGTAACGTTTAAAAATCACCAAATAATCGAATCAGCGTTGAAGAAGACCGAAAAGTAAAGCCAATTGCATCATTCTCAATTTTTATTCAATTATGTACTTTTCTATTTCTGCGCAAGCAAAACGATAAAAATATTTCCAAATAATAAAAATCACGTTTAAAAGACAAAAGTACAAATCGATAATTTCTAATAACGATCCAATAACAATTCTAGTGTGCCTTAAAAGTAGATAAAAGGTAATTGCCGGCAATTAAATTAAGTGTAGGCAGAGTTATAAACAACTTAATGGCACTTTTAAATTAAATTTTTAAATAAAATTCTCTTTGTAATTTGTTATAGTTTTTATCAAATTGTGCCTTTCGACATTTCGAAAGCATGAAATTTTACATTTTAAAGCCATTACTTATTTTTACCATCAATAAAATTATTTTAAGCTAAAGTATATGGCAGCACTAATGTCGTGTTTTTTGCTTCCGCCGAAAGCTGATGAATTCAATAATATTTTTTTAATAAAAGTACTTAATAATTTTAGTGTTGTTGAAAGTGAAAGGTCAAAATCAGAAGAAAACACTAAATCAAGCCATCGTCCCCATAACTAATAAAATTACCCACTTTTCTTTTCAATATCCATGAAAGTGATATTTTCTTATTTGCAATAGCAGTAATTGTGATTGACTATACGTAAAACCCAAAGAGGAAGTTTTTTTCTATTACTTATAAATCGTCAATTATTTGAATCCAAAATGTGGTTTTGCGGTAATTTGTTTAGATTTATCCAGAGAGAACTTTCATCTTTTAGTTTACTGACCTCGGTTTATCCCAATTTGAACCACTTGATGCGTTTACTCCAATAATTTATAAATAAGCACATCACTATTTTTCACTAAAAAAATGATTCATATTTTTAAACGTCTATTTTTGAATTTATTTCCTGGACCCTCTCAGCGTAGTTGCCCCACATCACAAAATTTTATGATTTTAAAAATAATTCAAAAAAACTTACAAAAAATAAATATTATTCCAGCTAAAACGATGCACTTTTTCCAATTGAACAAACTCATTCTGCACTATTTTTCTCTCTTATGTTGTACCATTTGTACAGGCGCCAACTATGATTCAAGTTGCACCTTCTTTGCATCCCACTAACTACTGAGGTCTAGTTCTATCGTCGAAGAGTTTTAAAATAAGAAGTGCTCTCTTACGCGCTCCAGCGTGATTCTGGATTTGATTATTAGAAAAAATGCACGCTGAATAAATTTTATGAATAATAAGATTAATTTGGGGGAAAGTAGGAGTTTATTGGAACTAAAATAGTCAGTGTTGCGGATTGTTTATTAATTATTTACATTTTTCGTGTAGGCTTTTGCCGTTATTTGACGAGACAGGAAGGTAAGATTGAATTGGTTTCAAATGCAGTGATTCAAATAACGAGACTGATTACAACTATAAAAAAAATGTAAAATAAATTTTTAATTATTAAGAGTGGATGAAACTTCACATGAATCAATAAGTTATAAATAGAGTTTTACTGCTTTAAAGTACTGCCGCCTATCACACTATTTATCATAAATAAGGTCAATATAACAGATGTGTGAAGCTGTTTCGATTTACGCAATAATATACTGAGTGTCATTAAAAATGATATTGCAGATGTCCGAAAAATTTTGATCTCACTAAATTCAAACTGTAGATGAGTACCAATTAATGTAAAATTTCAAAACGTTGCTTTAAAAATGTATAGATATTAACAAAAAAAAGAAAACCTAAAAGAACTGTTCATTAGTAATAAACAACTAAAAAATTAAAATGTGCCAATGTTTGTGTGGATGCCAAAAAATACATATTCAAATTGAGTTGTGAATTACATATTTCAACTAACTTTTGTTATGTAAGTATAGTAGAATCAAGATCTTTAAGGCTTAACTTATCATTTGCCAAGATAGGGAATTTCAATGCATTTTTCGAAAAGGTTTTTCTCGGCTATTATAAGGAATTTTTTGGTTTTTATTTTTTTGATGAAACCATTTTAGATATTTCTAGGGACATTGTTATGTAGCTAATTTAAATGCTTATTTTTTATATATTTTTTAACTTATTTTTTATAATAAAATTATAGTATTTATGTGGAAACTAACAATGTCCTTCCTACATGTACCAAAGACCTTAAGAAAAAAAAATCATTCGGATAATTAATAACTGTAAAATCTCTTGTGGAAAATATTATTAACTTTCGTAGTGTGAAAATCGTCTTGTCTCTCTCAACCCTAGTTCTTTTTCACAACAAACTGTGCTACTTATATATTTTTGAAATTATAATGAATTTTTAAAAACAAAATCTTTATTCGAACAGGCAGAGATTCGGAATTACAATTGTTACATCTTCTAATAATTACTTCAATTTATATACAAATTTTATGTACTTTTACTGATAACAGTGATAACTAATTATTTGTATTTATATTTATGTTCCCTTTGAACTCTAACATAACT